AAGGAGAAACAAAGACTCTGGGTCCAGTTTCAAAAAACATTCTAGAGCTGGAAGTGAGTTAGATGATGCAATAGCTGAAATATCTGAAGATACTGAAGAATCACCTTCAGCTGTAGAAGAGGAGGAAGAAAAAGAAGAGAGAGGAGGAGGAGGAATCAGGTGACCATGAAACCATCTCCAACAGTGAAAAAACTGCCTCCAGCCAACAGACAGGGAGCAGTGAAGAAGAGATTGAGCTAGATGCTAACAAAAAGGAGAATAGCACTATCAAGAAATCAACATCAGCAGCAGTTTCCAAAGAAGACATGGAAAGTGAAAATATAAAGAAAAAAGTCCCTGCAGGATATTTAGGAGAGTCAGACCAGGATACCAAAGATGTTCCAGATACTACAGAATCAGATATTCCTACTGATTCCACATCCTTCTAAAAGAAAAGTGAGACTACAGTTAGACAGTTTGCAGTAAAGTGGGGGTTTTGTTTGTTTGCTGTGCACGCTGTATTGCTTTTTGCAAATGAGAAAGCGTTATGAAAACCTTGCAGAACAAACTAGATAGACAAAATATGGAAATTAGTCATTCTTTTGCAGAAGCTAAATTACATGTTCCAATCTGAAAAAGTCAAGAGGCCTCAAGAATTAAATTTGTATAATATTGTTATAAATCTCTTAGTACCATGGCGAAGCATTCTAGGATAAGGATATTGGGGAAATACAAAAGTGTGCATATTGGAACATATAGATACAAATAGGAATTTTCAAGTAGACCTTTTGTTTTCAGAATGCAACGAGATGTGGAAACTAAGATTGGAAAAATGAGCAAAATCAAATTCATCCTCATCAGAGGACACACCAAGTAGATATTTTTTAAAGAGTGTAGCCTGCTTTCAGTTATGTAACATTTCTAGATTACAGGCAGATTTATAGAGTTTGTTTTGAAGCTATTTCAGGCAGTATAAATCACCACATAGCGCTTTCTGATTCACTTGATTATTCAGCAGTAAAGATGTTTGAAGTGGTGTGAATTGCTGTGACCCTTCTTTCCAGTGATGATCCATTCACACAAGCAAGTTATCCCTTGAAGCTGCAATCCTCAAGAAAACCTATGTGAATTAGCTGTGCGCTGAAACATATGTACATCACTATAACGCATGGTTTGCATTTCCTAAAAACGCCTGCATGCTTTTAAAAAGCCATTTTATTTATAATCAATCTTTTCAATGTAAAATTGTTTCCCAATAGTCTATCCCTTTATTCCTTAAGCTGGTAGTTTTGTTTTTTTGCATGGAAATTCATCTTTAAATAGACTGGTGCTTTTTCGTTACACTTCCTTGGCTAGTGCCAATTATAAGGATAATTAATCATATAGACTCTCTTACTACAGTCTTTAGCTGCTTGTTTCTGAATTTCATATTTGGGTAAAATAATTAATTTAAATGATGAGAGGCACATGCATATTAGAGCCTTTTGGTCAGAGCAATCTTGGATGGACAGTCATCTTCATTTTTTCTAAATATGTCCATACCTTGCACTTCCTTGAGAAAAAAGATTATTACTTCATTTGATCTAATGAGCCATGATAAGAAGAAATATCAAGTGCTCTTCATAAGCTTTTGTTACTATATAGTATTTTGAATGACTTACTCTGGAAGGAGGCAATTATTTTTATTAGCATGAGTACCTTACTAGCATGGGTACCATGCCTATTGCTAAGGCCTATACATTTGTCTGTTTTTATTTTGTGATCAAGTTGATAGTTGAATTATTTCATAATAAGGCTATCATATATGGAACTTTAAATAAATCCTCATTATCTGATCATGGAAGGATGTGCACCAGATTATGGTATTTTTAAGCTATTGGCTTTGAACAAATTTCAGAAACTGAATCAGTGCTGTCTGAGAGATCCCTCCGTAGGGTAATAATGTACAGTCTCACCTACAGTGGTTTTATGATTTATAGGAAATGTCTGGAAATACCTACAGTTGTCCCCAAAAAAATACCTCCATATGATTGAAACATACAGTAGATCCAGATGCAGGCCCAGAGACAGATATACAGTGGTGCTTGTGAACCCTTTTGAGCGTTCAATATTTCTGCATAAATATGACCTAAAACATTATCTGTTCTTCACACATGTCCTAAAAGTAGGTAAGGAGAACCCAAGTAAACAAATGAGTCAAAAACATATTGAAATGTTTCAGAAATACTGAAAATTCAAAAGGGTTTACAAACTTTTAAGCACTACTGTAAATATATAGATTCATACCACTATTCTACCTGTAGATGGCACCCCCTAAGTATTTCTTCCCAAGTTGGAATATTTTAGCTAACATTTTAGCTAAGACTGACCTCAAGTGTAAAGTGATGCATTAGTCAGAGGGACTATCATAAATACTTCTATGCTTAGTTTTTTAGTCGAGACATAAGAACAGCCATGTTCTGCATTAAAAATAAACGAGGAGGTGGTTAAATGATTTCTCTCTTTTTGTTGTCATCCAGTGGGCAAAAAAGAAAAGGATCAAGTTGGTCCTCGATCCTGAATATGAGACCAGCTCCACCGGAGAGGACAGTGCCCCAGAAAGCCAGAGGAACCGTCTCAGCAACCCCAATATTCAAGCCAATATCAATGGCAATATCTACATAGCCCAAAATGGGTCAGTTATTAGAACCCGTCGAAGTTGCCTTTCGAACAATTTGAAGGTCACATCTCCTGCAAGACTGGGAAAACAATTCAAGAAACTTGATAAGTTAGGAGTAACACACGAGGAAAACATACCACTGAACACATTTCCAACAGGGGCATCATGTAACGAGAAACTGAACACCAGACCCTGTAGTGTTTCCTTTGCTGCCTCTGCTGTGGACACGGACAACATAGCAACAAAAGCAGGGGGAAGCAGATTGAAAAGCACAGAACAGCAAGAGTCCATTCTTGATCATGAAGGTATCAAAGAGGCTTTGGAGTTGCCCAGTGATCATGCACAGTCAGATGATGAGGAACTCTGGATGGGTCCTTGGAACAACCTTCACATACCAATGACAAAACTGTGACCTCTCTTTTTCATTTCAATTTTTATTCCCATTTATAATAGTTATAATAATAATAAAACCACTTTTTATCATCACCAAGGAAAACCGTACAAACTTTGTATTGTGCACATAAGTTGTATACTTCAAACAAAATGCTTTAAAGTAAAAGGAAAAACAAAACAAAAACAAAAAAAGTCCAGAAAATTTGCACTCACGTTTGTACTAATTAATATTTCTTCCCAACAAGTCTTTTTCATGGGCTCCAAATTCACTGAACAAATACTCATTAAAATGGACTCATTTGTTGGCTTCAGAGTTATTGACTAATAATAACAACCATAAAACTAATACTTGAATGTTCAAACATTGATTGTTCAGTGTTTATAACTAAAAAGGCAATGGTCACTTATTTGATTGATTGGTCTGTAAGACCCACAGAAGCTTAATTCACAACATATAAACATGCTCCAAGTTGACCTAGTAATAATCACATATTTTCTGTTCCAAGTTGTTTCCAGACTGTAATGATGATGCCATGGTTCTTTCTTTGGCTATATCCTGTGCCAGCTAGAATCACATTGATCATTCCAAGGTTTGTTTTTATGGGGATTTACTTATGGGGCTTTATTCCTTCTTTGAGTGTTGATTCCTTCTTTGAATTATTCTTTATAACAAATTACAACTGCCTTTGAAATTCATTATATTCCTTTCAATGTGCCTTATACCTAATCAGAATGTATTCAAAAGAATGTAGCCATCAGCTAATGCTATACAGGTAGTCCTCAACCTACAACCATTTGTTCAGTGACCGTTCGAAGTTATGACAGTACTGAAAAAATGGACTTACAACTGGTCCCCAGAGTTATGGCTGTTGCAGTGTCCCCCACAGTCATGTGATCAAAATTTGAGCGCTTGGCAGCCCGCCCACACTTATGACTGCAAGGGTGTTTTAACTCCCCCCACCTGCCTTCCTCCCCCCCCCCTCTCTGCTCTTTGGCTGCCCTGCACCCTGCCTTGCAGGGTGCCAAAAGCCCCAGAAATTCATGGTTCTGGGGCTGCTTATATGCTGCAGCTAAAGGGCTTCTTGGTGCAACATAGTTCTGGGGCTGTGAGAAGCCCCTGAGTCACAGCACAGTGCCAAGCCACAGCCCCTGGGAAGTGCCAGGAAGCATTTATTCACCCAGTTGCCTTTTCTCCCAGTTCCCTACACCAACCTTTCACTTTTTGCACTCAGCTGCTGCAGCCAAAGCAGAAGTAGTTTGCTGCCTTTGCTGTCTCTTTTTTAGACCCACGGCCACCATGCTACCCTGGGAAACGCTTCTTACACGTGGCTCCCCAGCCCGGCCCAACAGGGTGGTGCAAATAAACATGCTGGCCAATGGGGAAGGCAGGAAGTGGTTTTGCCCAATGGGAAAGTGCTGGGGGATGGCTTAGGGAACCACACATAGGAAGGCTTGCTGGAGAAGCTGAGCCAACCCCCAGCGCTTTCCCATTGGGTGAAACTGTTTCCTGCCTTCCCCAATGGCTGGCATTCTGATTTGCACCAGGCTGCTGGCTGGGCTGGGGAGCCTTGTGTAGGAAGCATTTGCTGGAGGTCTGAAAAAGAGACAGCAAAGGCAGTGAGATACTTTTGCTTCTGCTGCAGCAGCTGGGTGTAAAAGGCGAAAGGTCAGTGCAGGGACTGGAAGAGAAGGCAGCTGGGTGAACAAATGCTTGCTGGTGTTTCCTGGGCACTGCAGCAGGGATTCTTGAAGCCCCAGAGCTGCAGTGTGCCAAGAAACCCCTGAGTTGCAGTGTAGCAAGCAGCCCCAGAGCCATACAGTTCTGGGGCTGCTTGCCACCCCGCAAGGCAGGACACAGGGTGGCCAAAATGGCAGAGATGGGGGGAGATATGCAGGTGGTGGGGAGTTGGAAGCAGTCCCTTACTTTACTGAGACTCGGGGCTGGGATGGACCAAGCCTGGAATGGCTTGGATTGGGGTAGGTCCTTGGCTAATGACCAATGGAATTTGCTTAATGACAACAACAGGGTGTGCTGGTATTGTGGTTGCTAAGTGATGCAGTCATGTGATGTCTTGTTTTATGACTGCATTGCTTAGCGATGGAAATTCAGGTCCCAACTGTGGTCATCAGCTGAGAACTACCTGTACCTTTCTCTGGGCCATTTATTCTACAAGCAATATTTCATGTCCTCTAGATGATTTTGTCCACATTCAAGTTGAATCAAGTTTCTTTATAAGTGACAGATAATAACCATAGTTCACCTCAAGATCCCCTCCAGTCTAAAGCATTGTTTTTTTGTTTTTTTTTAATGCTCTGGAAAAGGACATCCAATGGTATATACAGTCAGGTCCAGAAATATTGGGACATCGACACAATTCTAACATCTTTGGCTCATCTGCACATTGTAATTGGGGTACTGAGGGAATATCACACACCTGGCCATGGAACAGCTGAGAAGCCAATTGTCCCATTACTTTTGGTCCCTTAACAAGTGGGAGGCACATATGCAAACATCTGCACATTGTAATTGGGGTACTGAGGGAATATCACACACCTGGCCATGGAACAGCTGAGAAGCCAATTGTCCCATTACTTTTGGTCCCTTAACAAGTGGGAGGCACATATGCAAACATCTGCACATTGTAATTGGGGTACTGAGGGAATATCACACACCTGGCCATGGAACAGCTGAGAAGCCAATTGTCCCATTACTTTTGGTCCCTTAACAAGTGGGAGGCACATATGCAAACATCTGCACATTGTAATTGGGGTACTGAGGGAATATCACACACCTGGCCATGGAACAGCTGAGAAGCCAATTGTCCCATTACTTTTGGTCCCTTAACAAGTGGGAGGCACATATGCAAACATCTGCACATTGTAATTGGGGTACTGAGGGAATATCACACACCTGGCCATGGAACAGCTGAGAAGCCAATTGTCCCATTACTTTTGGTCCCTTAACAAGTGGGAGGCACATATGCAAACATCTGCACATTGTAATTGGGGTACTGAGGGAATATCACACACCTGGCCATGGAACAGCTGAGAAGCCAATTGTCCCATTACTTTTGGTCCCTTAACAAGTGGGAGGCACATATGCAAACTGACCCAAAGCATACTGCAAAAGCAAGAGCCAAAGATGTTAGAATTGTGTCGATGTCCCAATATTTCTGGACCTGACTGTACATATAGTTCCATTCAGCTGGGAAAAAGCACTTTGACTCTTTTATTGTGGCCATTCCTAGAATTAATACTTTGCACAAAAAGTTTCCATTGTGGCTATCAATACCATTTTAGGACCATTTGCCAGGGGGAAATCAGTATGATGGGAGTGAGGGTTGGGTGGATTCCTGTGAAGTTCAGCATATGCTGATGCAGCTGTGAGAACTGCTTCATCATGCTTTGAGCACATAACCTATCAGCCTGTAAGTCCATTTTAGATTTAAGGAGTGTCTGAAAACAGCAGGACCGGGGACGACAAGCTAACAAGCCATAAAGGAATTTGAAAAGCCAATACGCTCCAGATCCTTTCATGCTCAGCCTATGAAAATCCGTGTTCTGTTATTGAAATCTGCTGCCTATTGAATGGACTAAATCTGTCTTGACCTGTAAGCCAAACCATTGTATGCTGGTATCAGCACATTAAAAACTCTGCACCATTTGTCCCACTGTACATTCTCAACAGGTTTCCCCTGTGTCATGGTCTGTTAGGAGTTCCAGCTTCCTCCAGTACCACTGCCATATCGTATAGGATTACCACTGTTGTTCCTAAGTGTATAGCCTTGCAAAGGAGTGCGTGGAAACACTGCCGAGTAGGTTCAGCATATCAGATTGATCACTCTAACTGTACTTATTACTAACTGCTTGAGACTCAGTACATTTACAACATAGTCTGCTGCACATTCCATTTAGTGTACATTTTTAAAATCTCACATTCATAAGGGCTGTTTAATAAACAAAAGGAACAATCCAGACCTCTCTGCGTTATAAATTATGAATATTTTTCTTGGATAGGATGCTCGACTGAGGTAAATCAGCATAGCTTGACTGAAGCCAATGGAGCTTTGTAAATTTACAGCTGCTGGGAAGATTTCATAATGGAATTCTGAAGCTATAAAGTGAAGCTCTAAGTGAAGCTCTGAAGCTCTAAGTGAAACATGAAAGAGGCCCACGGTACCAGCAATACGCTCATTATATAATGCAATAACCTCTATGTAGATCCATTGAACAGAAGATTAAAGATGACGCTAAATCATTTATAGCAGGGACTTTGTGATAATTAACCTTCTTTATTTTTATCATCTTCACTGGTAAAGCTCTTCCCACCCGTGTTTGCATAAGTTTTGTTTGTTTTAATGTCACTGTCTGGAGCTTGTACAATTAATCTTAAACACACACACACATACTATACACACACACACATTATGGCAAAAGCACCCAGAATTAAAATGGGAATAATTCAGATATATGAATTATATCAAAAGGCACAAATGAGAATTGAGCAATAAGATCCATGTAACTCCGCTACTGATGAATTCAAAAAATGCAAAATAGAGTGCTGGGCAAAGAAAGAGCAATGAAGCTGCAAAGAATGAACAAATGCAAAGAACTCTGACACATTTAATGAGATTAGTTGGTTAAAAAATGACCAATTAAAAGGCAAAAAGGCTAGGAATAACAAAGTAATATTACGTTGCATATCATATACATATTAAGGTAAAACCTCTATTTAATGGGCCATTGGGTAGACAGGATGTTTGTTAAATCTTAATTTAAGTCATTTAAGGAAATTTATATTATTTGTATATCAATTAATGTAAATGGAATTATTTGCACTAAAATGTCAACAAGTGGACAAACCACTTTTTCATAGACAAACTACTTGATTTAATGGACAAAACCTGATTTAACAAATTAGTCTGTTAAATGGGGATGGAGACTCAACAAAATATTTGTCCATTGTATCTGAAGTCCTTTAAACCAAAGTCCATTAAAATGAGGGATTACTGTATAACCAAATAAAATCATGTGACATTTTGACACTTCTCTTGTAATACAGCTGTATTTGGTTAGAAACT